CCACAAGTGGATATGTTTTCACTTTGGGAGGTGCAGCCGTGTCATGGAAATCCTCAAAACAAACGTTAATAGCTAGATCCACGATGGAGTCTGAGCTAATAGCCTTGGATAAGTGCACTGAAGAGGCTGAATGGCTACGCCATTTTCTCGAGGATATTCCAAGTTGGGAGAAGCCTGTCCCTCCAATATGCATACATTGCGATTGTCAAGCAGCAATTGTAAGGGCACAGAGCAATCTCTACAATGGTAAGTCTAGACACGTTCGTCGTAGACATAACACCATTAAACAACTCCTCACAACGGGTGTTATCACTGTTGACTACGTGAAGTCAAAGGATAACATAGCGGATCCGCTAACCAAGGCATTGAATAGAGAATTGTTGGAGAAGTTGTCACGAGGAATGGGACTAAAGCCCATGAATTGAAAAGTTCAATAGTGGATACCCAACCTAGTTGGTCCTAGGTTCAAAAGGGACAACTAAATTATAGAGCGAAGGATGGTCACTGTGGGAGTCCCGGACTCCTACCCACTCCTCGTTAAAACAGTGACTCCCGCACGAGGTTAGCAAAAACGTTTGCTTTAATGATTCTAAAATGTTGATCTACTCGATAACATTGGAAGAGTATGCGGGATACTCGTGAAAGAATCACCTATGTGAGAGAGAAGAGGGCCGCTTCAAAGGAGAACTGTAAAGGCTCAGTTCTTTAGAAACTCTTGCAGAACTAGGACGGTGACCCATGGCCAAAACGGGCACACCCATGAGAACGGAACAAAGTTGGAAGGTTCTTGTGTAAAGATAAGTCAATGTTTACACGACGACAATATAGTTCAAGGACATCGAGTCTACTAGACAGCCAGTAAATAAACGTGTCTTTACAACGGAAGGTTCAAAGGATAAAACCTACCTCTCCGTATGCAAGGATCATCCGGTAAACACAACGTGTCCTCCTATCCTCATGTCTTTTTAAGTCTCGAAAATCAATTTTCATTCATGTGGGGGATTGTTGGAAAAATGTGTTAAAAATTGCATTAAATGGTGATTTTGGGGCAATTATTTGAGTGGAGTCCACTTCCGGTTTGGGTCGGGTTAAAGTGGTTTCGGATTGTCCTTGTTAAGGGCTACAATTCGATATATGGTACACTCAAAACGGATAACGGGTGAATGAGAAATTGATTCTCGAAGTTCACTCGTTGAAATGGAAAAACTGAGAAAATGATGGGTTCTAGTGTGTTTTATTCCACACCGAAAAACTCAAGGGATTTTCACCCCCTTATAAAGGGAAGCCTCTTTTAAGGAGTTAAGATTCCTAAGGGTAAAGGCTCTCTCTTACGCGCAGGGGGGGCGATCAAATCCCGAAACGGAGAAGAAAAACCGCAACTCGTGTGCGCGGGCGACCAGAGATGCTCCAACTCTGGTGGCTTCGCATCAGAGTTGCTCCAACTCTGGTGGAGGTATTCTGGTAGCATCAGAGTTGCTCCAACTCTAATGGGGGTATTCTGATCGCGCACCAGAACTGCTCCAAGCCGTTACTGCCATTAAATGCTCAACGTTCTTGTCTTTTAATGCAGCGTTAAATGGACAATTTATGGATGATTCAATGCCCAACGGACTGGTCATTGATGTCCAACGTTCAGATCCATTAACACCTCATTTAACACACAACAAATCCTCCTATAAAAGGCTGGCAGGTGCTTTGCAACAAACACACGGTTTTGACAACGCACAATACATTCCTCACGAATTTCTTAAGCTAAAAACACTTACAGCTACTCTGCAAATTCGTTCTGTATTCATACTTGGTTCTCGTTCGCTGGAACTCTTGTTTGTGTGCTGAAACATTAGTTCGTAGTTATCTTATCCTGGGAAACGATTTTTGCAACGCTCCTAGCACCGTGGGAGGCAACAAATACGTTTTAAGGTTATCGTGCGTAGCACGAGCTTTGACTAATTCTGCTTCATCTCATTTCTTGTTTTTCTCTAGTCATTTTATTTAATTAATTAATTTTAATTAATTTCCTTTATTTTCCGAAACACACCCAACATTTTCTTCCATTGGTCTTCGTCGAGGTTTACTCTAGGTCTAGGTCGAGTGTTACTCCGGGCTTTCCATGGAGTGTTGTTCCTTTGGATCAGTGAGGTTTGCTTCGATTGATCTGTCTTTTTATTTTTCGAATTTCAATTCAAAATTAGTGTGTCGGAGCTTTGATATGAAAGAGTTAAATCTGAATAGTATCGAGTATTTGTCAAAGTCCGAATTGTTCTTGGTTATGTTTGAATTCACATCTGTTTTTCGGTTATACATGTATTCTTTTTTATCACTATGTTTTCAATCTGAAATTGTCTGATTTCACAGAGTAAGACTTGTCAACTTTAGTTGCGATCATTGGTCCTAATTGTTCCCTTAAATTACACAAATTGAAAGTGGGTAACTTACATCCCAAATGAAAAGTTGTCCTCGATGGGAGAGAATTATAAAAACTTGTGTTTTATTTTTCTTTTCTTCTTAGAGTCATTTTTTATTAGTGAACAAAGATGACATGATTGTAGTTCCTGCAATGACATCTCTCAACAAAGTGAATGCAGAGCCAATTTGTAATAACAATTATTGTAGCAGTTGAAAGAGATGTTTAGTTGAGGCAACAAAAAAATCAGGATAAGAAAATAAGTAGGATTTTAGTACTTTGGCTTTGTACTTTAGCTGGGCAGAATAAAAGAACTGGACCATGAAAAACATTAATGTGAAAATTATGTGTGGCATCTCAAAAGCATTTGTTCTTTTTATCAATTTTCCCCACGTAGAGATCTGCTTTGGTTTATCAATTAAACTCCACGAAACCATTTTGAACTTTGTGTGGGATTCAGACGTATTGTATGCTAAAAATTGATTTGTTAACCACATCTTCCCTTATTTATACGCAGGTATTTGATTCCGATCATGTACAGAGATGCATTAAATGCTACATTGGGGGAGTTGAACATCAGCCTTGCCAACAAAACAACCAATCACTCATTCTTGAAATCTGAGCATTATAATGGCGGATTGGCGGATATGTATTTTATTAAACCTCAATATGTAAATTAATTAGAAGTCTTCTTTATGAAACTCAAACTCAAGTTGTGATTCTAGAATCTACTATCTTTTGGCGGGAACTTGCTTTGCAAGTTTTGTTTTGCTATTATATAATTATTATAATTATAATAATAATAATAATAATAATAATAATAATAATAATAGACTATGTTACGTACTCATATGTAACAACATTTCAAAATGCTTTGAATAATACTCCGTAATTCTTAGCCTATTAGCTCAAATGGTAGAGGGATGTGTTCATAAACACATAAATGTGGGTTCGAATCCCACATAGACAACAAAAAGGTATTTTGGAACTTGAAACAGACAAATTGTAAAACATGTCTACGTGGAGTTTTTTCCCAAACTAAGGTACTTCTAAAACTTATTTCCCAAACTAGGTTAGTTTTAAATTTATTTCCCAAACTAGGGTATTCTTTCTCTATGTCACCCAACCTGCCACGTCACCTATGCTACATCATTCGCTAGTCATTCCATATCATCGAATTTGGGTAGTATAAAAAATATGTTGCTAGAGGGACTTGAACTCGTGACTTTTCAACTTTGTATTAGAGCTACAAGTCTACAACCATTGGACTACAAGTCTACAATGTTAAGTTGTTACTTTTGCCCATTTAATTGTATTTAACATACATATAATTAAAGTTCTGGAATTTGCTAGTTTAATCGTGTATTACTCATTCCAAAATATATTATTTATTTCTCAAATACCTAAAGAATATAATAAAATTCTAATTTCAGATGTTCAATTAAAAAATAAAAACCCAATTAAAAATTATGATTAAAAACTTAATTTGTGATATGTAATTAAAAATAATTTATAATAACTTAACACTAAAATTATTAAAAAATATTATATTCTTAACTAAAAAAACGTTTTAAAGTTTATCTAGGAAAATAATTTATTTATTTAATATAAATAAATAACTACTCCGTATAAAATTAATTAATTTAATTTATTTATTAATAATTTATTTATTTATTTGTTTATTCATTTTCATGTATACATATATTTTATCAAAATTTAAAAATAATTTTTTAACTCAAATTCGGGCATCTTATTTGAACTCGAACACATAAAAATTAATTTGTGGAATTTGAACCGAACTCAAGTTCAGCCCGAGCTCAATTGAGATGATATAAAGACTTTTTTGTTTTTCCTAGATAAACTTTTAAACGAATTTAAGTTAAAAATATAATATTTTTAATACTTTTAGTGTTGTGTTATTATAGTTATTTTAAATTATTTTTTAATTACATATCTCAAATTAATCTTTTTATCATAATTTTTATATGGGTTTTATTTTTCAATTGAAAATATAAAATTAAAATTTAATTATATTCTTTGATTATTTTAGAAATAAATAATATATTTTCCAAAGGAATGGGTAAAACACGAGTAAGCTAGTAAATTCAAGAACTTGAATTATATGTATGTTAAATACAATTAAATGGGCAAAAGTAGGAACTCAACATTGTAGTCCAACGGTTTTACTCCTAATACATAGTTGAGAGGTTGTGAGTTCAACTCTCTCTAGCAATGTATTTTTTATACTACCCAAATTCGATGATATGGAATAACTAGCGAATGATGTGGCATAGGTGACGTGGCAGGTTGGGTGACATGGAGAAAAATACCCTAGTTTGGGAAATAAGTTTAAAACTACCCTAGTTTGGGAAATAAGTTTTAGAAGTACCTTAGTTTGGGGGAAAACTCTCTCTATTAAAACAAAAACTAAACATGTTACTAACACCAACGCCAGAATGAAGATGAAGTCGAGAGTTAAGACTGTTTCCTATCACCCACCTTGAGGACAAGGTGGTTGTCTAAGGGGGGAGATATGATAGGAACCCATTAGTATAATAATACTAATAATAATAGAAGTATATTAAATAATTGTGAGTGTATTAAGGCCTTTTTATTCAAATATTACTATTAATTAAGGGATTCCCAATAAAGTGAGTTAAGTTTCAAAAGTCCAAAAATATGACTTGTCTGTTATACAGCAAACCGTTGCACACCCAAGAACTAGGCCATTAATCCGTTCAACACCAATCCATTTACCACCATGTATAACTAAAAGGCCATAAATGAACTTTAATAATGAAAAAAAATCAAAAATAGGAAAGAGTTCCTCAACCGCCACTGTTACCACCGGCACTGCCAACAGTCTTGCCCCACCACCGCCTAGTGACTTGCTCCGGCCATAGTGACCGCCGCCCAATGACTTGCTACGGCCATAGTGACCGCCGCTTATTGACTTGCTCCAGTCATAGTTACTCCCGCCTACCATCCATAGTGACCACTAATCACTGCCCAGTGGGCAGTGACTGCAGTCACCATCAACAGTGACTCCGCCGCCACACTCTGCCGCTAGTGACTCTGCCCCATGACTGCTGGCACCCCTGACCAGTCACTGCCATAGTAACACCGTTGTCGACCACAGTGACACCGCCGCACATCTCAGTGACACTAGCAAAGTGTCACCACCGCTGGCACCGCCCAATTCCCACCATCATCCCACTGTCACTAACATCTACCCCTGCCTTTCCCCATCCCCACACCCCAGCAGCCAGCACCTCAACCCATAGCCTCTGTTCCTGACATGCCCCCAGCCAACTTCCCAGTTCGTGCTCCGACTAGCCCAACTCAGCCCCAAATACACAGCTCTGCATCTCGATGTAGCCCCAATCAGCCCAGCCACGACCTGCCCACCATTTCGCCGCTCAAGCCTGAAGCCCCAACCTCTACCGCCAAACCATCACATCAAGTCGTCGCCCCAGAAACCCTATCCACCGTCCCTGTAGCCCCCATGTCCTTGTAGTCGTCTTCACAGAGGTTTGTTCTTCGCTATCGTTCTCTGCCAGAGTAAGGTGAAGAAGAAGAGTACAGATCTGGAAAATTGGCACGGGTTGGTTGCGACAAGGACACCGGCGGCGGCGACGGTTGGTTGCGACGAGAACATCGGCTGCGGCGACGGCTGGTTGCGATGAGGACACCGGCGGCGGCGAGCCTATCTGTGACGAAGACATCGGCGGTGTGCGTTGGATGGGATGAAGTCATTGCTGGTCCTCTCCTTCATCGGCACCTCGCTGGTAGATGTGTATCGTAGGAGAGGGAGGTAGCTAACGGGTCGCAGGCTCGCAGCAAAGTCCGAGTCACGAGACATAGGAAGCATAAGTTTGCGGTTGAATTAAGTGATATTTTTGAAAAAACGCAAACCATTTATATTTTTGTCATGTAAAAGTGTAGGAGTAATACTCCTGCCATTCTTTCGTGTATTAAAGGGTCCTGGACCAGGCACTAGTTAGTTTTGGGCTGACCCATAAGTAAGTATAAATAGAAGGGAGGGAGAAATAAGAAGGTAGGCAGATTTTGGAATAGGAACTGGGACTCTTGATATCTTCGTATTTCCACCAAAAAAGTAAATAAGGGGAAATTGATGACCGACGCGGTGGATGGAGACGACGGGTACAGAGAGAAGAAAACCAAAGGTCAAAAGTGGGGAGCTCTCTGGTATTACGAAGAAGGGCTGTTGGTACGAAAGAGAAGCACGTGAATGGTTGGGAGAAAGAAGTGTGCGTCCCTGGGAGAGTTAGAGTCCGTGAGAGATTAATTTAACATCTAAAGATCCAATGGCTGGTAATCCTGGTATTAGTTCTCATTTTAAGTGAGTTTTCATTTTAAGGAAGATTCTCACTAGAACTAGGGCTGACATTTTGAACCGAAAAACCGATAACCGAACCGAAAATTACCGAACCGAAATGAAAAGGATTTGTGTTAAAAAAGGAATGAGAACCGAAGCAGTTTTTCGATTTTAGGGAAAATGAAATAGGGCTTGATGAGAACTAGGGCTTGATGAGAACTAGTAGTTCAAATTTATGGGTCCGAGTTAAACCGAACCGATATTTCGGTTCCCAATCCTATTTCAGTTCGGTACTAGTTTTCATTTTCCCTAGAATCGAAAAATCGGTTCGGTTCTAACAAAGGAATGAAAAGTCTTTGTCCCTGATAGAAAAGGATTTGTGTCAAAAAAGGAAGCGGGATAACAGACCTGTGCAGTCAATGTTGGTGCAATATTTGTTGCTTCGTTGCTTTTCATTTTCAGGGACTTGAGATGATGAAATACCCTCATGCTATCCTGAAAACACACACACAAATTTCCGAACCAACAAAAAATAAAGATATTAATCAAAATAATTGATTCATTTCCTCTCAAGAATATAGATTTAGCAAAACTGTTTTAAGGCATAGCATGCTGAGAGCATAAGAGAAAAGACAAGGAGAGCTGAGGCGGTGGCAGCAGGGTTTTAAGCCATTCTAAAGGAAGTCCTCAACATAGAGAAAGTGCACATGCTGCATTATTATAAACGTCAAAATTCTAGAAAATGGCATTTTGCTAAGTATACTTGAAGTAAAAAATATTTTAGTCATAGAACTAATAAAAACTGCAAACCTGGCTTAGGGGTTTCAGCTCTTGCATTTTATGACCTATAGACTTTCTCAATTGACATTCATGTGATTGCCGCTTCAACCAATTTGAGTAATGAGCAGGAAGATCTCTATTTGCAAGTTGCAGCCTGAAAGGTCAGGGGAGTCACAATTAGATTTCAGGGACATGCCTAAAAGTACATTGAAATACACATTTATGAACAAGCTAACCAATGTTCATGTAATTTCTGCCTCTCTTCTTCCTCATATGCTTCAAAAGGCTTTACATGTATATTTTTTATGTTACCTAACACGTTATTTAGGGCCCTTGATTGGATGCTTAACACGCTGATAGTGCTCCTTGCTAACCTGAAAAGACCAAAAACAGAACGGGAATAGAAATCCATAAGCAACAGAAAGAAAATGACACAAACGAGTTTATCAGCAAAAACACTGAACCAAACAAAGACATGCTAGCTTTTTACATGATTTGTAGCAACATGATAATTCAAGATAATACACTAAGACATCTGTAAAAGAAGAGGTACCTTAATGTAAGGCATGTATTTGGAACCATCTATTTGCTGTATATTACGCTTCTGCATTTGCTCCCCCTCTTATGTTTTGCCGCATTATTCCAATCCAAAGATTTACCATATCGGTTGTCTACACAAACATTTCTGTGGTCATGTTTAAAAAACTTATTATGATAAACATGCCAACAGAGGGAAAATACAAAACAATCCCTTCAAGCACATCACTGTAAAATCTCAAAACTAAAATGGGCAATTAATTCAAGCCTAAAAGGGTGAGGTAAGTTGATGGGTACAATTGGCATATAATGACTGATCACCTATGGGCCACTCAAGTTCTTTTTACTTTTCCATTTCATTCACTACTTCAATTCCGTAATTGCACAAAGTGGGATAGAACAAATTGCAGCGGAGGACAAAGTTACCTCCTTTGAGTATCTCCCTGCAACACCGATGGGTTTGGTCTGTCACTACTAAAGCCTTTGTCACCAGATGCCCAAGAAAACTCAGGTGTGCGGACAAAGTTCTCTTCAGCGTCAAGTTTTAAGCTATGCCTCTTCAGCGTCAAGTTCTAAGCTATGCCCTCTGTTCCTATGAAACTTTGTTGCCCTAGTTTCATTTTAGAATCACAACAAAGAAGAATACATAAGGATGGCATGAAAAGAAAACCCACACAGACATAATTTTAGAATTGACAATGCTCACAACATAAATACAATAAAGAAGTCCTAAGAGCTAAAAAATGTTTGATAGCTCTCAGAAAAGTTAGTGAATCCAGTTAATCCAGTTTCATCCTGAGAAAGTGTAAAGCGATATAAATTGAATATAAAAGTTCTTTAACCATTCAGATATGAAAGAAGTTCACCTAGAATTCAAAGGAACCTTTACTTTCTTTCTTTCTTTCTTGTTGTACATCCATTATAGAAGAATCTACCTCCACGGCACCATTCTTGATACCAAGTAACTGTAAGACATTCATAAGAGACCAGCTTATAATGCCCCTAAAGGTGTACTAAACTATTCCACTCAGAATAGTAGTCCATAGTAATTTCACATAGAGTGTTTTTACCTCATCCATTAGCCCTTCATATGTTAGGTGGGAACACATAGGAGTAACCATGTCCACCTCCAATAGGGTTTGAGTTTCAGAAGTACCACAACAAATTTGTCATTCCATCTTTGTGCTATATATATATCAAAAGCCAAAGAGTAGCTCTTACGTGCCTAACATCCATTTCTTTGATGCTATAAGTTTCACACGTGCGTTGCACATAGTAAAAATTATTTTATTTTATGAAATATTAATAGTATGTTGTTTATGATAATTTTTAAGAAATAAATAAATGTTTTGGTAGTATAGTGTTTATGATAATATAATAAGAAATAAATACACTCACGGCTAAATTATGTTCTAGGCTGATTTTTCTTGGGTTTTTAGCGTTTCGGCCATTCAAGGTCCGCCCCGCGTCGAAGCAGGTCACCGAGTAATTGTGGGTTTAACCATACACGGGTTGTCAGCCAATCAGAACGGACTAGGTCCCGGGTCAGCCAATTGGAGAAAGTTCTTACTTTAAAGAGGAGGAAGAGAAATAATTTATAAGTCTTATACTTTTATGAAAATACTTTTGATAAAATGAAAATCAAAGTCAACTTTGACCAATGATATTTTTTAATGCGGAACTATTTTTTAAATGAAAATTATATTTAATTTGGAGATTGCATTTATAAAAGGGGAATTCTATTCACAACCCACATTTTACTAAATACACACCCACATTTTCTTAATCCCATTTATACCCTTAGAACTAAGACTCCTCAGTTCAGTAGAACACCTCTACTCATATCTACACATTTCGATCTGTAATATCATTCATCTAAGGTCTCAAATTAAAACTAAAATCCATACATACATATACATATGCGTAAAAAGTCATCTGCAATTAGATTATAACCAACTTTAAATTGTAGTTCTAGGAGCAAGTTGGGACTGTCCACTACACGGCCATCTCACTTGCATAAGTCTATTATTTGGATTTAGACTGCAACATCTTAAAAACTTTACATGAGCATGCCACCACGCATGGAGAATGGACAATCTGCAAGCTTTCAGGTGCAAGGAAGCAAGTCGGCAAGCCCTTATCAAATCAGTGAAGCTGAATGGCCCTTGACTCACTGTAGCAGTTTAGATGCCTCCAGATTTCCCTTCCACCTACGAACTGGATAAGTAAAGAACACATCAAGTTGCAGCGACGCACCATTATTAATGTTGTTCCAAAATAGGCCGAAGCCAAGAAGAAGCCTACCTGATCCAGGAGGGCGGCGGCTCGCCAAACACGGCGGCACCGAAAACGGAAACCAGAAGACAGCTACAGACGAAGACTTCACGTTTTGGTCTTTAATTTACTTAAAACGTGACAGCTAAAGAGTAGTTTAGAGAATTCATTGATTTTAATGGTTGTGGTTAGTAAAAAGAGGGCTGTAAATAGAATTGCCCTTTATAAAAATGAGTTTTCTTATAATAGGCCTACTACCCTTGTAAAACTTTTAGGCCCTCTAAGAAATGGTGGCCATGTTCATTCGTATCTATTGCACTAGGGAAGGAAGGGTCTAGTGACTCAAGTACAATAGGGATGGACCCAGATCAGGCCGGGTTAGGCCGGAACTGGGATTGGGTTGGGTTAGGTCCGGTCCTGGGCTGCACCGGTTTTGGAAAAGTGGAGCCCGGTATTGGTTCTGATCCTGGGCAAATAAAAAATGATTGATTATTTATTATTAGTCGATTGACATCTTACAAATAATTTGAATCGTGATTATAGTCAATTTGGAGTTTTTATGTATTCAGTCCTCAATTTTTATTTTTAGACAAGTTATTTATTTGTGAATAACAACTTTGAGTACCACCCTTTTTAAGAAAGTTAATTAGTCGAAGAAATTAGAGCATCTTTAACGGTGTCATCGATACATGAAAATGCATTGCCACGTAATAATGAGTTAAAAAAACCTCTCCAACAGCATGGTCTATATTATCTGTGCGGCTGAGGTGGATTAAAAAACAGTCTACACTGTGGCCTCTCCTTTCTCAATTCTGAAAGCTTGTGAGACGAGTGACTCCGCAATTGATTTTTATCCATCATGGGTTACCAGTTACCACAAGCTTTTATTTCAATTCCTCCAAAGAGCATCGATCAAAATACTTGGAGAAACAAGTTTTTATTTCAAAAGCATCTATCATTGCAAGATCAGCCATTTTTTGGCTGATTTGACCATTTTTTAGCTGTTTGACTAGAACAAAAGGCTAATTAAGGTGTTGTGAAATAATGGGAAAGGTTACTCCAATAGAAGTCCTGGCATGTATATTTATAGTAGTAGAGTTCTAAACATACAAGGAAACAAATCTGCCTAATTAATATTCTATTACACCTCCTCAAACTGTGCGGGAGATACAACGTGCAGGTTGTCCTTCAAAAAATGAAATTGCTGACTAGAAAGACTTTTTGTAAAAATATCAGCTAATTGAAGTTGTGTAGGGATGTACTTCACGACTAAGTCTCCATGCGCCACACGTTCCCGGACAAAGTGATAGTCTATCTGGATGTGCTCGCTACGAGCATGTTGAACAGGATTAGCAGTCAAACAGGAAGCAGAAATGTTATCACAAAATAACTGAACCGGTATTGTAACAGGAAAGCCAAGCTCAAAAAGTACGGAACGAATGTGCAACGTATCCTGAACAGTATATGCAACGGCTCGATATTCTGCTTCTGTAGAGGACTTGGACACGGTAGGTTGCTTCTTAGATTTCCATGAAACAAGATTCGGCCCCATGAATACTGCAAAACCAGTCGTGGACCGTGATGTATCTGGGCAACCTGCCCAATCTGCGTCTGAATACGCAATAACACATGTGGCCCTAGAAGTAGGCTGTAGCCATAGTCCATGATCAAGTGTGCCCTGCAAGTATCTAAAAATACGCTTGACTACAAACAAATGAGTAGTGCGAGGGGCATGCATAAACTGAGACACTAAATGCACAGCATAGGTAATATTAGGTCGTGTCAAAGTTAAATATTGTAATGCACCGACCATACTTCGATACTCAGTGGCATCTGTAAGAAGTTCCCCATCAGTAAGGGATAGTGAAGTACGAGTAGCAAGCGGAGTGCGAACAGACTTAACAGTGTGGAGATGGAAACGAGAAAGAAGATCAGAGACATATTTTTGTTGAGAAAGAAACAAACCTTTAGAGGAACGCATAGCCTGGACTCCCAAAAAATAATGAAGATCTCCAAGATCTTTCATAGCAAAATGTTTAGCAACAAGTTGAATGAAGGAGTTAATGACAGCGGAAGAATTACCAGTAATAATTATGTCATCAACATATAATAATAAATAAATGACATTAGTATTCTGGCGGTAAATGAATAAAGAGTTATCAGACTTGCTGCACGTAAAATGATAAGACAATAAGAAGCTACTAAAACGATGAAACCATGCACGTGGGGCTTGCTTAAGGCCATAAATGACCTTCCGCAATTTGCACAAGTGATTAGGAAATAAAGGATGAACAAAACCATGTGGCTGACGCATATATACTTCCTCAGTGAGGTGACCATGTAAAAAGACATTCTTGACATCTAATTGACGAATGACCCACCCAAAAGAAACAGCTAATGTAAGTACAATACGAACAGTGGTGGGTTTAATAACTGGACTAAAAGTTTCAGAAAAATCCACACCTGCCTGTTGGTTAAAACCTTGTGCAACCAAACGCGCTTTGTGGCGCTCAATAGAACCATCTGATTTATATTTTGTCTTATAAATCCACTTAGAGCCCACAACATTTTTAGTATGATCAAAAGGTACTAAATCCCATGTTTTATTAGAAATAAGAGCATTAAATTCCTCAGCCATTGCCGCTCGCCAAATTAAATGTTTATTAGCCTCGGAAAAACATGAAGGATCAGTTGATAAGACAACAGTGTTTAAATTAAAAATTGATTTTGATTTAAAAATGTCTGACTTTCCCCTTGTTTGCATCGGATGAATATTAAGGATCGGGGCAGGACCAATATTCGGCGGAGGCACGACAGCCCTGGTGGTGGGAGAGTTGGGTGAGGCAGTGAATTGGGATGGGGTAGGCGGTGTTGAAGAAGAAGAGGGTGAAGATCCATTACTGGGTATAGGAGATGGCAGTGAGGTCGGAGAATGGTATTGTGCGGCTGGGGAAGGGGAAGGGGATGGCTGGCTGGGATTTTTGAGCATGGCTGGAACAGAGGGCTGGGAAAGTGAGGGGGGATAATCGGTATTGTTGTTCGAGCAGGGAAGAGGCATTGGTCTGGAGATGGGATGAGTTAGAGTGAAGTCGGGAGCTAGAGGAATGGAGGACGAGGAAGAGGCATGCGTAGAAGAAGACAATGTGGCAAAAGGGAAAATATTTTCATGGAAGCGAACATGTCTACTAATAATAACTTTACCAGAGTGAGGCTCAAAACAACGATAGCCTTTAAAACCAGATGCATAGCCAAGAAAAACACATTGTATGGAGCGCGGAGAAAGTTTATTGGAAGGAGATGCAGAAAAATTGGGGTAACAAGCACACCCAAAGACTCTTAAAAAACTATAGTCAGGAGGTTTTTGAAAAAGAATATCGTAGGGAGAAACACCATTAAGTGACGGAGTAGGAAGTCTATTAATAAGATATGCAGCTGTAAAGATAGCATCAACCCAAAATGTGATAGGAATAGAGGCAGTAATGAGCATAGTTCTAGCAAATTCCAAGAGATGACGATGTTTGCGTTCTGCAACACCGTTTTGTTGGGGAGTATGTGGGCACGATTTTTGAAAATAAATGACATGTTCGTCAAAAAAATGCTGCATATTATTATTAACAAATTCACCCCCTCCATCACTCTGAAAAATTTTAATTTTAGAATGAAACATATTTTCAACTAAAACCTTAAATAGACGAAACTGAGTAAAAACTTCACTTTTATTACGCAAG